GTGTGTGTGTGTGTGTGTGTGTGTGTGTCTGTCTGTCTGTCTTTGTCTCTGTGTGTGTGTCTTTCTGTCTCTGTCTGTCTCTCTATCTCTGCCTCTGTCTGTCTCTGTCTCTGTCTCTCTGTCTCTGTATGTCCTCCACTCTGTCTCTGTATCTCTGTCTCTGTATCTCTGTCTCTATCTCTTTGTCTTTGTCTCTGCCTCTGTCTCTGTCTGTTTTTGCCTCTCTCTGTCTCTGTCTGTCTCTCTGTCTTTGTGCCTTTCTCCTCTGTCTCTCGCTGTGTGTCTTTGTCTCTCTCTCTGTCTCTCTTTCCTTCAACACCCATCCTGGGCCCTCTGGTACCCAGAGCTTCTGAAGGAATCATGCTGTGGGAGGAGATGGCACACTTGGAGGCTGAGAGAATGGGAGATGGTATGGCTTTGTCGGAAACTACTCAAAATACTCGTGAACCTCTTGTACTTGAGTTGTTCCATCATGGAATGGACACCATAGTACCCACACTTCAGGGTTGTTTCCTGAAGCTCTCAAAACAGTGACCTTGGAATTATCACCAATATCACCACCATTACCACAAAACCACTATCTTTACCATGCCCCTCATCACCACCATCACCAGCACTGGTGATGGCCATCATTACCACCAACATTATTACAACCGTCACAATTGCCACTATTATGACATCTATCACCATCATATTTCCATCCTCAATACCACTGTCACCACCACTGTTATCACCATCACTGTCATACCATCATCACCAACACCGCTGCCATCAACAGCACCATGTAATTCATCAGCACCACGTAATCGCCATCTTTGTCATCATCACCATCAACATCCTTATCACATCACCATCGTAGTTATTTGGGGCTCTTCCTTCCATTCTGTGCTGTAATTAGCAGGTGTCTTTTTTAATATTTCCTGATGGTCTCTGTTGACAAGTTTATGGGGTGTCTGAGTGTTGGTTACTCTCCAGATTACACCTGTCATACCTGCAGCTTCTGAATCACACAATGTGTTCAAAACAAACAAACAAACAAACAAACAAAAAAAAAAAAACACTGATCATTAAATTTCTATGAGGCTAATTAGCAGGCCCTGAGTTCTAAGGACTCCAGAAGGGTCATCCTGTAGCAGAGCTAGACCAAGGGTCCAGGGCTCCCCAGCTAGTCCTGGGATCCTTGGAGGCTCACAGAGGGAGCCAGGGTCCCTCAATGGACACCCCACTCAACAGAGCACTGTCTGGAAGGAAGACATTCAGGGTCAAAGCAGACTGGCCCCCTTTGTCCCTGTCTGTCCCTTAGGTAGGTCCCCTAGGTTGCTGTTCCATCCCCCACAGGTAATCACCTGTGCTGTGAGAGAAGAGAAGAGCGCCCCGAAGGACACAGGGGACTTGTCAGAAGACGAGTGAGTACTGCTTGGGGGGGGGACTCCTGGGATGGAGTGTCTATCCAGAGTGGCATCCCCCCACAAACTCCTATGGTGGCAGTGCTGCCCCTCCTGCCTTCCCTCCATTCCCTGAGCCAGGCATAAGGCAAGTGACTATGGGGGACCAGAAGGACTGAGGGACAAGGAACCACATGGTAAACTTTCCCAGAGCTTGGGAACGAATTTACCAGGTACCGCTTCTTACTCCACCACCAAACCGTGGCTCTTCATCCCTCCAGTCAGCACAATGACCAGGAAACAGAAAGGATGGGTTGGGGTCTCCAGCATGGAGCCTAGCTATGGCAAGCTGGGTTAGGAGGGCCCTGCACACATGGATGCCATAAGGGAAAGGACAGCTTCCCATGCTGGGTTTACACCTACAACGTTTTGCACGCTGGTACTGAGACTCGTAACCCTGGGTGGGCCAGCAAAGCTTCGAGACTTCCTGAGGTCCAGAGGCACAAAGAAGGGTATTGGGATCCAGGGAGACACCTGCCTCTGGCCCATGGATCTCTTTTACATCATTTCTAACAAATACAGAGAAAAGCAAAGATCAAAATAGCAGTTACTCAAATTCCCACCTCTCAGAAATTAATGTCTCTGTTAGTGTTTTGGCTTATGTACTTAGATTTTCAGAATAATATTTCTCTTGGATTTGTAAAACCGACATGCAGTCTTCCAGGAACTGATGTGCAGAATAGCACAGAGAAGGGAGGGTTTTTGAACCACCCCGATCCTACCTTACACACTGGATCTTACCCCGAACCAACACACCCTGCTGGGCCTCACAATCCTGGATGTCACCCTCAGGCACAGGCCGGGTTTGTGCAGGGTGGCAGGCGCCTTCTGGACCATAAGCCACCCATACTCGCTGTTCTTTGGTCACACAGTTGCAGTGTTAACACCCTGCTTAGCTCTCGACTTGGTGGGCAGTTGACGAATCCTTTACGGCCATTACAACCTTTGCTCCAAGCTCATATGTCAAAGGGGAAGGAATTTAGTGACGTTTTGTTCGCGCTCACTAGGGGGTGCCCCTGACTGACCTCCGTGACCAGGCCATCACAGGTGACCACCTCAACTTTTACCAAGATTGTCATACTCCCTAGTCCAGACATTTCCAAGTGACTCTTTTTCTCACAGTTCTCGGGTGGCTATGGCCACAGGCACTGACTAGGCTGGGTGGCTTTATTCTTATCTTAGACTGGACAGTTAAATCTGTCGTCTGGGTCTGGGTTCCAACCCATAATGCCACAGTAGAGAACTGAGAACTGTCAGTTACTTGGTAGGGACTAGGGACATGTAATCTGATTGGGGCAGATGCTGGGACACTCTTCTGTACCTCTCGCCTGACTACCTGCCTGACTCAGGACCTCTCAGTGGGATGAGCCAGCCACGTACCTTCAGCCCCAGCACAGCGCAGTGGAGAGCTTTGATCACAAGCTGGGTGATCGCCTTCACGGCATAGTGGGATCCACTGCCTCCTGTGAGGAGCAAATGGAGGTTGCCTTTCTCCCCACCCAAGCTCTGGTGCCTGGAGGGAGACGAGGTTCCTTCGGTCTCTTGTGTTTAAGGAGTCTCTCTAGCCAGAGAATAAGAGACTTAGGTACACAACAGACAAAAATAAGCAGCTAGCTATGGAACCTGGTTTGACTGTGGGGAAATGCCCTGCATCCCTGGGTCTCTGCATAGTGGGAGGTGTGGGGTTTGAGAGAGCAATCTGGAGAGAAATAGCAGGGGGCTGGTGCCCTGGGGGCACTGGGGGCTGCTGCCCAGGAGGCTGGCACATTACAGGGCACGGAGGGCACTGTTACTTCCTCATGTTCTTGGCCTCCAGGACAAGGACCAGCTGGGTGTGCTGCATCCCATACTCCACAAGGAAGAAGGCAAAGGAAACTGCCAATGCTTTGGAGAAGGTACCCAAGGCCTGTGGGCCGGGGAAGGGTGGGACTCTGAACAACTAGCAGCACAGGGGTGTTGGGCTCAGTCTAGAGCCCTTCTGGCCAATTCCCTGGGGTTCCCACTTCCATCTTGTAAGATTAGCCATAGCTGGGAGAAAGCAAGGCCAGAGGTGCTGTGATGGAGAGACCCCTAGTCCACTATATATAGCCTGAGGATGCTCCGGAGGACGGTATGGGAGCTGGGGGGGGGGGGCAGCGTGAGCACACCCAAGTGTGCACACAGGCTACCAGAGGCCTGTGAAATGATGTCTGTACATCGTGTTCTTCCTCCATGGGATGTGGACAGAGGCAGGAGAGTGGCGATGTCTTCCACAGGCAACCATCAGTAATGGTGAGTGGTGCTGCCACGCCCCAGCCCGTACCCTCAGCTCCTGGAAACATCTAGAAGCAGCTGTAGGCCCAAAATACCTGGTGGAACATGGTGATTGGGGGAAGGCATGGGGTGCCAAGGTCCCTGCCTGGTAAGGTCAAGGATATCCAGCAGCCTGGGTCACCCTCTGTGCTTGTCGCTGGGCACAGGGCCTGGTCACTCCACACCCGCGTCATGGGAACTCCTACCTTTAGGTCTGGCTGAGGCCATGCGCTCCCAGCCCAGGGGAGAGCTGGTCCTTCACCAGGGGTAGGAACTCAATATTCTCACTTTATCTAGCTTTGTTGTCACCGGAGTTACATGTTCAATGTGCAAAGACAGTATGGCTCCAGAGATGTTGTTTGATGCTTGGGGTTGGCCCCTGTAACAAACCCCAAGCCCAGGAAAGTTGGGAAGGGCTATCACAGTGCCAGTCAGGCCAGCTGTCTTCCCAGCCGGGTGCCAGAGCCACCTCCTTTCTTGGCGATCACCACCATCATGGTCCCAAGGGACAGATGCCAGGGTGCCAGGGCCTCTGGAAAATCTAGACATTTTGACTGGAAGATAGGGGCCGCCTGAGCAACTTGGGGAGCACACAGAGCTGATGCACAGGGTCCAGCCTGGGAGCCAGGCAGCCAGGTGGGAGCAGGAGGCAGAGAGTGGGCACTTCTCACCAGTGGTAACTCAAGTGCTCTATCTCACGCTAAGGGAGGGCCCAGCTTTCTGAAGTCCACCCAGAGAACATGCCTGAGATTCACACAGGAATGTTCGTATGTACACAGAGCACTCACGCGCATGCTCATATACATGTGAGCTCCCCCTCACCCACATACCACACACACACACACACACACGCCCACACTTGTGCAGTCATATGTATAAATACGCAGTGCACTCATATTCACTCTTGTGTGTGCGTTCTAGTGCACACACTCCCTTACATAGAGTAAATGTATCTGGTCACTTGTAGGCGTGCTTCATGTACACGTTTATATACACGCAGGCACTCGAAGCAGGTGAGATCACCTGGCGGTCAGAGGCCACAGGCCACAGAAGGCTCATGTACAGGTCTCTGCTGCTTCCCGTGGGGACACATGGAGTACAGATGAGAACTGAGGTCATTTTGGTAGTGAAGGACAGATTTCTGAAGCTGCAATCTCTCAGGATTAGAGGTTGAAGAATTTACTTTTCAGGGGATGGGGCACTGTCTGGTTTTGGACCAGTCCCCTTCTCCAGCTGCCAACTAGAAAGGTAACGCAGAGACACTTCAGCACAACCAGCTGGCTGGTCCCTTTGTCAGGGTGGAAGAAGAGGCCTCAGCCTTGGCTTCTGGCCTTTCATTGTTGTTTTCAAAACAGGGTTTTTCTGTGTAGCCGTGGCTGTCCTGGACTCGATTTGTAGACCAGGCTGGCCTTGAACTCTCAGAGACCCGCCTGCCTCTGCCTCCTAGCTTCTGGATGCTTGCCATGGAACAGGCATCAGCATGAGTCTGTCTACCTGTCCACTTGTGTCTGCATGACAGTTCTGTGTTGGCCAAGGCCGGGCACCTGGACAGGAGAAACCTTAGCTTAAATCTCAGCAATGTGGCTCCTTCTATGTATCTTTGTCAAGGGTCACAGCATCTGCCAGGTCTAGGGATGGGTATCATGTTCAAGAAATACTTGGGGGCTTGGTTCTAAGGGCTGGGTCTCACTCTCCTGCCCATGTGCCAGCTTCTGTGCACACTCTGAGCTGCTTGGTTTCTTAGCATCATTTGGCCCCCTCGGAGAAAGAGGTCCTGGCTGGAGCTGCTCAGAGCACCCGAGGAGAAGGGCATGATCACCTATATACTGATGGCTCAGGAGCAGGGCAGGAGCTGTTACTCTTGGGCAGCAGCTGGCAGTAGCCAGTTTTACTAGAAGGATGAAACAGACCTGGATCCTGAGAGACAAAAGGTGCCCCCATGTCCATGGGTAGTGAAGTCTTCGGACCCATTCATCGGTAGGGCCTTTCTTGTTGCTGCTTCAGGTGGCCAGAGGCTGTTGAAGGATACCTACCTTTATGACCTCCTGGCTCCTCAGATCCAAGTGATGCTGGAATTCAGAGAGGACCAACAACCTAGCTTCTAGGGTCCCATGTCCCACTGCCTGGTGGTTGCCAGGAGCCCTGGTGACTCAGGCCATAAGGATGCCATCCTCTGTGGGCCTGATCTTCCCAGCCAGGCCACTGACACAGGCTTGGCTTTAGCAGAACCACCAGTCATCTCAGGACAGGACCCCTCTGACTCAGCCGCTAGTACAGCAATCTGGGGACTAAGGGAAGACTGCCTGGAACGGCTTCGTGATCCTCCCCATGGGCAGGACCAGAGTGACAGCAGCCAGCGGATACCCAAGGCAAGAGACCCCCCTCCAATCCAAGGCCAGTCACAGGTAAGGGAGAACATGGTTTCACTCCTCACCTTCCAGCAGATGGTCACTGAGGGCGGGCATGTGGACCTCTGCTCAGGGCTGGGCCCGATATTACAAGTTGGGGTCACATTGGCCCTGAGTTTTTCACTCTAAAGTTTTCAGCCCACATTGTCACTGACAATTGTTTTTAGGTGCCACTCAGCACCAGAGACAGGGTAGCACATGGATTGAGTTTGTGTCCCCATGGGCCCTGCCTACAGGGACAGACTAAGAGCTCTTTCCTTTTAATTTTATCCACAAAGAGTTTCATAAAAATCAGTCTTTGGGTAAATATTAGTCAAGTGTACTAAAGGTATGAGGGCAGGGAACTCGTGGAGTTGAGTGGAAGGTACAGGGGGATGGGAGTGGAGGCAGTGGGGGAAGGGTGCTCTGTTAGCTGGGCTTGTGAGAGCTGCTCTGCACCAGCCTCTCCCATCACCTAGGCTAGTCTTCCCCCAATTCTTCCTCTATCCTCCACCCACACTGCTGCTGCCCCTCTAGGCTTATTTGTGCAAACACCAGGACCAGGCAGTAGCCACTTTCGCCTGTCTGATGGCGCCCCCTGGTGGCACAGATTCTCCAGCCTGCTCTGCTTTCAGCCCTAGGAACCAGCTCTTCAGGACCAACAGGCATACCACCTCATCTCTATCACAGAACTTAAACTCCAGCTAATTGTTCACTAAAGGAAACAACACAATATGAACGCATCGCGGGAGTTACAATGTCATACGTAGACAACCTCCAGGCCGCAGCTGGAGAGGAGAGGGGACAAGGTCACCTCTGAACTGGCCCTCCCTGTACCCACATCCTTGCACCCTCAGGCCCTGGGCCACTGTCCTCCTTAGCACCTCTTCCTGGAAACCTGGTTCTCTAAGGATGCTTGGGAATGTTAGATCCTCATTAACTTTCCCATGTGACCTCAGCCACCTTCCCATGTGACCCCATCAATGACCTCCCCATGTGACCCCACACACACAACCGAAAACAAAACAATTCCTCAAACATGTGCACCTCAGGCTGTAAGTACGTGGACTCATCAAAGACACGGTAGACATGCTGAGTCCGCTGAAGATGGGGTGGCAGAAGCTCGATCTGATAATGGGCTTCTGGAGTTGCCATGGTCACTAGGAGGCATGGAAACAGGGTGGGAGGGTCTGATGCCTCCCCTACCCAGAGGAAGATCCGATCGGATTCATAAATGTCAGGAGTCCACTATTACTGCAGAACAGAGAAACTGAGCTGGGATGGGAAGGCCAAGGAGAAGGGTTAGTCAAGGGTGGTCTGCGGGGCCCTGATGGAACTCGGGCTCATATTGCAGAGGTTTGAGAGAGTCCTGGGGCCACTGAGGAAGACTGTTCCTTAGAAGAGCTGTCGATGCATGTGCAGCAGTGATGGTGAGGGCTCTGAGAGGAGCTCAGACCCAAATGCCATAGACGGGCGTGTTGGAGGCTGTCATAGGCACTCAAGCACAGAAGGCAGAGCGCGCTGGTCCCTCACAGGCTACCCACAGGCTCGCTCCACTCTCCTCCTGAGCTGATGCCTCCCACTTCAGCTCTGGTCCCCCTCATTCCCTTCCAGTCCTGTGGAAGGACCTATCCCTACTCTCAGTGCCCATGATGGGAAGACCGAGTTCTCTAAGTTCTCTAAGGGCCTCTCAAGAACGCTTGTTTCCTCTCCCAAAGAAACCTAGCCCACCCAAGTGGTAACCCCCTTTCTTCCCCCAGTAGTCTCCGTCCACTCAACCATTTCATTTTCTAGCAGTAGCAGTCATGTCCATCAGGTTTTTATCTGTGGCCTCAAGTAGACTGAAGCCAAAGAGCTCAGGCTCAGCACAGCCCCAGGGCTGTATGAGAGTGGGTAGGAAGGCGTAAGCTCTGTATGAACACCAAGTGCTCAAGGCTGAAGTCAGCTGCCTATCACAAGACAGTTCCACATCTGTCTGGTCAGTCCGATGGTGAGCTCAGCCTTCCACCTTCGTTTCCCACCAGACCCCTGGCGTCTAGATGGCTTAGGCGCTCCCCTGACCCCCACCCCCCGGTCCCATGTCTGTCACTGGGAAAGAGAAGGGAGCCTCAGGAGTGGGAGCCATGGGGAAAGTCCCCAGTCAGCAGCTCTGTGGAACCAGGTTGTGGGGCAGGCCCAGGCATGCTGGGACATGCCTGCAGCCTTCCCTGGGCTTCCCTCCCTCCAAGCCTGCCTAACTTGCCTCCCACTCAGGTCCTCTGAGGACTCCCTGGCAAGGAATCTACTGACATCCGAGTTTGCTGCCAAGTTTGCTGCCTGAAGTGGGAACAGTCACAGATTCCAGGAAACAAAAGGGGACCTGGAATGCTAGGTAGACCTGGAAAAGGGCAGGAGTTGGAGGAAGTCAGAACCCCAGAATTCACCACCCTGCAATGTCCTTCTGGGGACATGCAGAAGGCCATGACCCTTCAGGCTCTCCTGTTAGGCTGGCTCAGCATCTAGTTGGTATGGCTTATGGTTTCCCAAGTAATCAGGAGAAGGTAATTTTCCTTTCTACATTTAAAAGAGGTGTGTCTCACAGCTGGCTTTGTAAAGCGCAATCCCCAGCCTGCATCTCAGACACCCATGACATCAGAACCATACACGCCTCTGATTGGGAAACACCTTAAGTATTGGCAGTCAAGAATATAATTAGTGTCACGGGACCAACAGCCGCTGACATGATGGACACAGCCCAGTGATCAGATAGGGATGCCACTACGTGTCTGGCCTTGGAGGTGCCCTGGTCTCCCGCTGGCAAATGAAGAGTGGGCATGGAACCCACCAGTTACAGACTCTAGATGGCGCTGTCCCCCAGGAAGGAAAGACGTTGCCCTGGACTCCGCATTTGTCATGAGGTTGCTTGGGAACACAGTGAAGAGTCCGTTTTGCGATTCAGGGGGACCCTGACTTAGAATGTTCTTTGGGGCAAGAAGTTTATTAGGATTAACACCATGGACATACAGCAGGGGCTGTAAGGAGAGCCAGCCGATATGGGCGCTGGCGACGGAACTCAGCCCCTCTGCAAGGGTCCTCTGTATGTGTTCCTAAAGGCTAAGCCCTCTTTCTAGCCCTCATTTCAATCTTGATTACAGATACTCCCAAATCCCACATTACATATGACACAAGGTGGAGGTCTGCTGGGGTCACTGCTGCAGAGACAAACTTCCTGGGCAGAGTTTAGCTGCCTGAGCAGGTGAGGACCTGGAAGCCATACATAACAAAATATAGAACTGGCTCCAGAATAGCAAGTAGACAAGGCAATTTGAGTAGTCCCTCTCAACCGTGGAGACCAAATGAGGCAAGCCCCAGTGACTGTTAGGCACTCTTGTCCTCTGCCCTCTACAGGATGCTTAGGTGTCACGTAGGTGACCATCCCATTGTCCGGTCGCTGACTCAGGTGTCCTCTCTGGGTCCCAGTAAAGAAGCTTAATGGCTATGATGTTAACATGCTCCTGTACTACTAGAGTGCCAATTTGATGAGTTATAGGCGTGAGAGTCTGGCTCACAGAGGTAAGGGACAGGTGGTTTCAAATGCTAACCAGGCAGAGATATCTTGGCTCTGCATTTGCACCAAAAATGAAGTCTCGGGTGTGGTGGCTAGTTTGTGGCGGCTTGACACAAGGCAGAGTCACTGGAAAAGGAGGGAAACTCAATTGAGAAAATGCCATTGTGGGTGGGGCTACCCCCAAGCTGGTGTCCTGGGTTCCATAAGAAAGCAGCTGAGCAAGCCCTGACGAGCAAGCCGGTAAGCAGCACCCCTCCATGGCCTCTGCATCAGCTCCTACTCCAGGTTCTGTCCCTGCTTGAGTTCCTGTCCTGATTGCCTTCAATGATTGACTGTGATCTGGAAGTGCAAGCCAAATAAACCCTTTACTCTTGCAACTTGCTTTTTGGTCATGGTGTTTCATCGTGGCAATAACTCTAAGACAAGTTGGCACCAGGACAGTGGGTTTTTGCTGTGAGAGAACTGATGTTTTGGGGAGGATTATGGAAGGACTTTGAAGCGTTGGGCAAAAACAGCCATTGAGTATTGAACTCAGTGAGCTGTTCTGTTGTTGTGCCCGATTTGAGAGACCCTAAAAGACCACTAGGAATCGAGTCCTTTGCAAATCACATAAGGATCTTTATTCAAACTTAAGCTCGGGCCGCCAATCTTCCCTAACCTAGCAGGTTAGAAAGTGAGGCCCCGAGTCTCAGGCAGGCAGAGTTTTTAAAGGGAAAAATGGCAAGCGGGGAATTCCAAGCCTTGCAGTTACAGAGAAGGGTAAGTTTTTTTGTTTTGTTTTGTTTTGGTTTTGTTTTTGTTTTGTTTTTTTTTCAGGGGCGGGAGGTGGTGTTCAGCAACCGAGATGACGTGCAGGCTAATTGTTCCAAGCCACCGGGCCAAACCGACAGATATCTAAGACATCTGTATGATAGCCTGCTGGGTGGAGCAGAGGACCCACTAACACGTTCTGTGGCATTTATGACTACCTGTGGGGTGGAGGCCCGATTTTAGTTATCTATTTACACATTCTGTGGTTTCCATGACAACCTGCAGGGTGGAGAGCCATGTGGCCCTTCTCGGAATCCAAAGGTGGGAATCAAGTCACTCCAAGGTCAGTCAACTTAAGATAAGAGCCTGAGAAACAAAATGGAGCCACCCCTGCCATCCTCAGTTCCTTCACTGTAGGAGCTGAAAAGATAAGTGTCGGGAGCAGTGCAGATGACGGAGGCCTGGCTTGTAAAATTTCAGAGGAAGGAAAAACACTAACAGGACTTTTAAGAATTTGTGGTTCTAGTTACCTGGGGCTGAAGAATCAGCTGTGATCAACAAGAGACTAGAACAATAAAATCCATGCTTTACTGGGCCACAGACGCTGG